GCAAGTGTACTGCACTGAAGTAATTAAGACCGTCAGTTTAAGCGCATTTATCACTTACATGACTATCCGAGAGAGAGGTGAAGAAATGAAGGAAAGGGGTCAGGAAAAGGGGGGAAAATGGAAAAGGAAGGGAAGGGAGCTTAAGGGAAAAGAGAGACGGGAAAGGGAAACGGAGGGAACGTAAAGAAGATAAGGTTAGGGGAAAGGAAGGGAGAAGGACGAGGAACTCAGAGAGAAAAGGGAGAGAGAGCAGTAGCGAGAAAAGAAAGCAAAGGAGCTAGGACTTAAAAAGTGAATTTAGCGGAGAAATGTTAGGAAGTGAGAGGAGGTGGTAGATAGGGAAAGGTGAGACGTAAGAAGTAAGAGGTAAAAAAAAAAAAGGAGAGAGGAATACCTTTTATCTTTTCTGTCTCTTTTATTCCGTGTCACATCATGGATCCCATTAGTTATCATCATTAATTTTATTATTGTTATCAATATTATTATTAATGTTATTGTCATTATCTTTATCAATTTTATTGTTATCATGCTCATTATTATTAATGTTGTTATGATTATCATCATTATCATAGCTGTTATCACTGTCCCTGATATTACTATTATTATCACTATTGACATACATAACACTATAATGCTATCACTATTATCCTTATTGTTTTAATTGCCGTGATTATATCTACTACCTTTATCATTATCTCTCTCAATTTTTTATCAACATCATTGTCTTATTATCATCAGTGGAATTATTAATGTCTTGTTACATGTTAAAGTCATAAGAGATATACTTTACTTGGATTATTGTAAGATTATTTCTGTAAGCAGTAATGTAACAATATTGTATATCTCGAACCATATTTATGTGACTGCGGACTTGAAGTCATTAATACTGGTGCTGATGATATTTTTATTATTATTATTATTGTTATTATTATTATTACTATTAATATTATTACTATTATTATCATTATTAATATCATTATTATTATTATTATTATTATTATTATTATTATTATTATTATTATTATTATTATTATCAAACTTATGCACACGAATTACTTCACAACTATCCGAGAGAAGGGGGGGGAGGGGGTAAGAAGGAAGTTAAAAAGAGAAGAGGAAAGGAAGGGCGACAGAATAGGGTAGAGAGGGAGAAAAGGAAGAAGAAGGGGGCTTAAAGAGAAAAGGGAGATAGGGGGAAAAGGAAACGGAGGGGGAATGGAGAGGACTAGAAGAGGAAACGGGTATGCAGAAGAGGAAAAGGAGAGGCAAAAAGGGAGATGAGAGAGGGAGAAAAGGAAATAAAGGAATGGATGAGGTGTGAAGACAGAGCTTAAAGTGTGAAGACTAAATTCCAGGAGGATTTGGGAGTGAGAGAGGGTGGCAAAGAGGGATAGAGAAGGACTGGGGAAGAGGGGAAGCGAATGAGAGAAGGAAGGGGGTAAGAGAGGGAGAGAGAGAGAGAGAGAGAGAGAGAGAGAGAGAGAGAGAGAGAGAGAGAGAGAGAGAGAGAGAGAGAGAGAGAGAGAGAGAGAGAGAGAAAGAGAGAGAGAGAACTACGTAACATTTTCATTCATTTATTTATATATTTATTGTTATTATTATTATTATTTTTTTTTTTTGGGGGGGGGGGATTTCCACAGGCCCTGCTTGTTATCATTGCCATTACTATAATTATCATTATTGTTATCATCATCATTATGAATGTATTACTGTCATCATTATCATTGTTATTGTTATTAATACTATTATCAATATAATTATAATATTATTATAATTATTATTATTTGTTATTACTATAATTATCATTACTGTCATTGTCACTGTTATTATTATTAATCATCATTATGATTATGATTATCATTAACAGTATCATTATCATTATTATTGTTGTTATTATTTTTATTATTACCATTATTATCATCATCATCAACATCATCATCATCATCACCATTATCACTATTATTATTATTATCATTTTCATTATTATTATTACTATTATCATTAATATTGTCATCATGCTATTATCCAGAACATTATCGTTGCTGTTGTTATTGTTGTTATTATCATTACTACTTCTACTACTATTACCATTATTATTATTACTATTATTTTCAGTTTCATTATAGACATATTTCTATTTTATAATTTGAATATTCTCGCTTCTATCATCACTATTATATTCATTGCATTTGATAACGACCTTATGTTCAGCATGTTTTTGCTGTCATTACAGATATAAAAGATATGTTATTCTAATTGTCGTTATCTTACTATCAATAATTATATTTTTTTCAAAATCCTTAAGGTTGTCATTACGATATGTGTTGTAATTATTATCATTTTCGTTATCATTAGAATTACAGTTATATGTAGAACGAAAAAATATATAGTATTAATATTGTCATGCTTATCTTTTGAATGATTTTTCTTTCAAATTATCATCGGTATTATCTTTAGATAGGTCTTGATGATCTTTACTGCCATTGTTATCAGTATTAATATCATAATCGTTTCCATCTATATCGTCATAAGCATTGTTATTGCTATTTCCATGATCATAATCATTAGTGAGTTCTTTTTTCATCATTCTACTAAAGTTATTCTCATTTACAGTATTTTTATTATTATCCATATATCACTGCCATAACGCTTCTGTCAAAAATAATGCTATAATCATTCTGTTTATTATCATAATCGTATACCATTAATGTTCTTATCCTTTACATTTTGATTAGTATGTTATCATCATAATCTTAATTATTTTGTGTTTTCTGTTCAAGGTGTTGGTCTAGAACCTGCTCGTTGTTTATTGTTTATTGACTTTATCTTTCCTTCTCTCTTTTTGTTTGTTTTCTTTTCGTTATTGTTTTATTTTTTACTTCTTTTTGTCAGGGGTATTGTGTGTGGCTGTACTAATGTGTCGTTTGCGCATATGTGTTATTAATCAACTTTCTGTCTCTCTCGTTTCTTTTTTTCTTATTTTTCTTTTCTTTTTGTTATGGATATGTTTGTGATTATATATATATTTTGGTTATATATTTTGTGTGTAATTACTCGTTGGTCCTTTTCAACAAAACCTTTAGTTCGGTTATTTTATTTATATTTAACTCTTTGCTTTTCTTGCTAAGGTACTCATATACTTTATATTCTTCGTAAAATCGAATGATCTTCAGTTCAGTTGCTTTCATATCAGTCCTTGTTTTCGTCATAATATCTCTTAATTATCTTGGAATTATTTCTCTCTTAATCAGATTATTTGTGAAGGTAATAAAGCTACAGTTTCACAATTTGGCGAAGATTTACTAATGGGTAATGATAACCAATAGTTTAATCAAACATATATTATAAAACAGAGGAAAAATATAGAAAATAAATAGCTTCAGTATCTTATTTTGATATACATCGGGGGTTTGGAATATAGAACATTACAATAGATTTGGGTCGAAGGAGATTAGCACTGATCTCTGTAGTGGGCAATTGAGGGATTAGTGGAGGTTAATGGAGATTGGGGAGGGGGGGGGGGAGAAGGGTTTTGGGGTATGGGTGTGGGTATAGGGGGGTATGGGATTCGAGGGAAGGCAGGGGATTGGGGAGGTAAAAGTGGGTAAAGAGTTGGGTGCTTGTGGTTAAAGGGGCACGCCTCACCGCTTTCGATACTCGTTATATATATATATGTAGCGCTCTCTCGTCTTGTTTTTTTTTTTTTTCATTTGTGGATACCTTGTTTGTCTAGTTAACATCGCTGGCGCTCTTGAATAATAATAAAAAAGAAGGAAGAAGCCGTGGCAACAACAGCAACAGCGCCATCTTGTCCTCGAAGTAGAGTAACAGCTTGAAAAAGTTCTGAAGTTACTAAGCTTCAATGTCCACAATATCGCGAATTCTTTTCCTTAGTACATAGTATCGCGAGGGCTTTATCTTTTATCAATAATCTTATACATAGACAAACATTTATATATATATCATATTCATGTAAGTATACTATAACCTCAACAACTGCAATAATAGAAGTGCTCCGGGTTATCAGGGAAAAAAAAAAACAGTTGTATAACTTTACTCGCGATGTCTTGCACATTCTTAAACGCGGACTTCATTTCCTCATTTCATTTCGTAGTGTTTTAAGAAAACATGGAAGAATAGTTAGTCTTCGGTGTGGAAATGAACGTCGGATGGAAATGATTTATCCTGCGGAGAGAGTGAAGGATGTCTTAAGATAGTGTCTATTCCTTCCACATACAGACTTTACGAAGAAAAATAATGGCGATCCAGCCTCATTCTCTCTTTCTCTCTCTCTTGTGGTCTTATTTGTTTTTCTCCTGTGTCTTATGTCTGTCTGTTTCTCTGTCTGTCGGCCTTTCTCACTCTCACTCGCTTTCTCTCTCTCTCTCTCTCAGTCCTAGTGAAATCTTAGATAAAATAATATAACTATACTGACCTTGCAAAAACAATCGAAACTTATCATCACAAATTTGTATGTCATAGGTAAAATGTGTATATTTAGTTGTATCTGAGAATTCTCCTCTTCACAAAAGCGTTTTCGCAAATCATTTAAGAGGTAAACACAAGAGTAAGTCCCAGCAAAAGTAAACAAAAGTGGACAGAATCTAACGCTCTCTAACAAACATCCTTCACTCATCCCACTGTTTCTCAAACCGGCGTATTCCTTTCCCCCTTTCCACCGTACTCAAGTGTAAGAGGGAGAATTAACGGCTGGTCGGTCAGTCAGTTGGCCTCATCGAAACTGTGGCGTTCGAATCCCATCTTGGCAGAACCGATCGTGTGCTGAGACTGTACTCGTAAACCTGAAGAAGCATCGGTTGTAGACTTAGGTATCTGAGCGGAAGCGGGAGTAGGAGCGGGAGTAAGGGGAGGGGGGAGGGGGAGTATGTAGAGCGAAGCGCGTCACTGGTAACTCGTATTAGTTTATTATATATATATATTTTTTATATATCTCATTTTTTTTGTTAAATTTGTCTTTTGAGTAGGCCTAGAGAGTATGTTTAAGACGATGATTGATCTTCCGTTTCTTGTCCGTCCGCTCCCTCTTCGTGCTCGGCGGTGAGGTCGCTGGAGCCGCGCTTGCCGAGCCCGAAGCTGTACGCCGAGCCTATCCTCTTGCCCAGGTCGGAGGCGTATGCTGGCGACTGATCGAGGTCCAGGTCGCCTCTCGCATCTCTCTTGCCCAACCCGAAGGCGTAGGGCCCGGCGGAGCGCTTGCCCAGCCCGAAGGAATAGTGGCCCGCTTTCTTGCCGAAGCCGTAGGGCGACTGGCCGCTCCGCTTGCCCAGCCCGAAGGAGTAGTGGCCCGCCTTCTTGCCGATGTCGTACCAGTCGTCCCGCTTGCCCAGACCGAACTCATAGGGGCCCGCCCTCTTGCCGAGGCCGAACTCGTAAGGGCTTGCTCGTTTGCCGAGACCAAATTCATAGGGACCCGCGCGCTTGCCGAGACCGAACTCATATGGTCCTGCTCTCTTGCCAAGACCGAATTCATAAGGCCCAGCACGTTTTCCGAGACCGAATTCATATGGTCCTGCTCTCTTGCCGAGCCCAAATTCATAAGCTCCTACTCTCTTTCCCAGACCAAATTCATAGGGACTTGCTCTCTTACCAAGTCCAAATTCGTAAGGGCCGGCCCTTTTACCGAGACCGAATTCGTAAGGTCCTGCTCTCTTTCCAAGACCGAATTCATAAGGTCCTGCTCTCTTTCCAAGACCGAATTCATAAGGTCCGGCTCTCTTTCCTAGACCGAATTCGTAAGGTCCAGCTCTCTTTCCAAGACCAAATTCATAAGGTCCGGCTCTCTTTCCAAGACCAAATTCATAAGGTCCGGCTCTCTTTCCAAGACCAAATTCATAAGGTCCGGCTCTCTTTCCAAGACCAAATTCATAAGGTCCGGCTCTCTTTCCAAGACCAAATTCATAAGGTCCGGCTCTCTTTCCAAGACCAAATTCATAGGGTCCAGCTCTCTTTCCAAGACCAAATTCATAAGGACTTGCACGCTTACCCAAACCAAATTCGTAAGGGCCAGCTCTCTTTCCAAGACCAAATTCGTATGGTCCTGCTCTCTTTCCCAGACCAAATTCATAAGGTCCTCCTCTCTTGCCAAGACCGAAAGCGTAGTGGCCTGATTTCTTCCCAAGACCAAAGTCATAAGAATTTCTCTCTGTTTCAGGATCAGGGACTTCGTTCCTCTTGCCCAAGCCAAAGCCATAAGCGACGGATCTCTTCGCGTCCTCGTCGTCGTATTCCTCAGACTGGCCTTCCTGGTCGTCGTCACCGAACACGTAGGAGTCGTATTCTTCGTCATCGCCGTCGCTCCGCTTGCCGAGGCCAAAGCTGTATGCCGACGGCCGCTTGCCGAGTCCGAATGCAAAAAGGCTGGCTGCGTCCTCGTCTTCGTTCGCCCGTTTGCCGAGTCCGAATGCGTATTGGTTAGCCCTCTTGTCTATATCCTCATCGAGGTCTCGCTTGCCAAGTCCAAAGGCGTAGTCACGTTGTCGTTTCTCGAAGTCATCGTCCCTCTTGCCGAGACCGAAAGAGTACGTTCGGTCTCTCTTGTCCTCCGAGACACGCTTGCCCAGACCGAAGGCATATAGCCTGTCCCTCTTGTTGCTCTCTTCAGCATCTGGCCTCTTGCCCAGGCCGAAGGTGTACTGGCTCGCCCTCTTGTCCTTGTCGTGCGCAGACCCTTCGTCCGCTTCCGCCTCTCTCTTCTTTCTCATCTTATCCGCATCCTCAGCCTCTTCCACCACTGAGGTTTCCGGAGGCTCCATCTGGCCCTCGACGCTTCTTTTTCCGAGACCGAAGTTATAGTGGCCTGATTTCTTGCCAAAGCCGAGGCTGAAGCCATCTGAACGCTTGCCAAGGCCAAAGGAGTACATATTCTGGCGTTTGCCCAGTCCGAAAGCATAGCTGGGGGTGCGCTTTCCAAGGCCGAAGGCGTAGTCACTGTGGCGCTTCCCGTAGCCAAAGTCTAGGTCGGACTCTGGTTCATATTGCGGCTGGAGAGCCTAGGGGAGAGGGAGGGAGGTATCTGTTAGTCATATTTCAGGCAGAGAAAAGGTTTCGCTTTTAACCTTTCTATGGATCTAATATAAATGTATTATAAATAGATACTATATATGATTTTTTCCCCAAGATATCAATTTCCATCAAAGAAAGCTGCATATTGAAAATTATTATTTATTTATTTTTATCTCTCTTTTTTTTGTTAGCAACCTCTTTTTTCAGTTAATATCATCTTTATTCTTCGTCTGCCCTATCTTCTCATTCTCTCTCTCTTTTCTCATTTTATTTTCTCTTCCACCCTTCTCTCTCTCTCTCTCTCTCTCTCTCTCTCTCTCTCTCTCTCTCTCTCTCTCTCTCTCTCTCTCTCTCTCTCTCTCTCTCTCCCTACCCCCCTCTCTCTCTCCTCTCTATCTCATTCCTATCCCCCCCCCCCTCTATATATATATCTATATATCTATCTATATATATAGACATACATATATATATATATATATATATATATATATATATATATATATATATATATATAAATATATATGTATATATCCCTCCCTCTCTCTCTCTCTTTCTCTCTCTCTCTCTCTCTCTCTCTCTCTCTCTCTCTCTCTCTCTCTCTCTCTCTGTCTCTCTGTCTCTCTCTCTCTCTCTCTCTCTCTCTTCACCCTCCGTGTTACCTTATTTCTTTCCCACCCTAACTTATCTCCCAGTACCAATCTCCGCCACCCAGCCTGTCTTATCTACCTACCTATTCCTAAGTCCATCTCTATTCCACGTCCACCAGCGTTTACTCTCTCCCAATCTCCTTCTCTCCCGCTTTTCTCTCCTTCTCTATCTTACACTTTCTTTCACTCACCCTCCCTCCTTCCCTCTTCTCTCTCTCACTCTCTCTTTCAGTCTCCTTCCCTCTCCTTCTCTATCTTACTTTCTCTTTCAATCTCCCTCCCTCCTTCCCTCCTTTCTTTCTCTCTCTCTCCTTCAGTCTCCCTCCCTCCTTCCCTCTTCTCTTTCTCACTCTCTCTTTCAGTCTCCCACCCTCCTTCCCTCTTCTCTTTCACTCTCTCTTTCAATCCCTTTTCTCTTTCTCTCTGCTCTCTTTCTTTCCCTCCTACTTACGTCTAGGAGGTCGGCTGTGTCGGGGTCGACCTCATAGTAGTCTTGTTGGGCGGCGGCAGTGGCTAGAAAGAGAACTGTAGCCGCCACTGCACATGCGCCCAGTCCGCCATATTGGCCGCGCATCCTACTCTTAACCTTTGGGGGAAACGAAAGAAAGGAGAGATACGTTAGTGAGCGTGAATGGATGAGATTAGAGGTGGAGGAGTGGGTGGATTAAGTGTGGATTGAAGGTTGGTTGTGCGAGGTATGTTGGCGGGGGCGTAGGATCGATAGATAGATCTTAAAAAAGGTGGATTGGTGGTGCATTTGTGGGTGAAAATGCTGAAAATAGACAGATTGTTGGTGGATGAGCTCCAACAAGATGAATGGTGAGAATAGAACAATTAAGATTCAACGTAAAATGCAATCTATGCCGACCATGGACTCTTTTCAAGACCTCAGAAAGTAGTTAATGTAAGAGAGTATGAACCATATATTTTCCTCCTTATCAACAATCGTTATTTTATTTTCGAAGAGTATTCTTCCTTATATACAGCATAACATTTTGAATAGTAAGAGAAGCAATTTCGTATTTCTATGAAGCTATTTCGATAACTAGAATGTGTATTCAACTTTTGCAGTGGGCGATGTTGGCTTACAAAGCAAACATTTCCAAACGTCAGGAGGGACTTTACTGATTCTTTTCCTTTCTTGAGATGTCGAAATTTCTACTGTATGAAGATAGGCATTCAGTGAACGTACTTTCCCTTTTACATTACAGAGCATGACAAACAAAAAAAAAAAGTAGGTTATGAAGTGCTGCCGTTCCAGGGAATGGGAGGAGGCACTTAGCGAAATTATGTCTCTGTTCTTAGGGTTATTGTCGCCACGTGATGTAAACAAGAGTTATTTGCAGCGTCAGTGTCAGCCGATCCTCGTCAGGACAATGACAGGCCGCTCAGGTTAAGGAGAACTGGAGGAAAACGCGATCAGAAAAGCTGCCACCATTACGACAAATGATGCGAATGCGATGGTAGAACCTTGACTTCGGTTTAAAAAATGTCCGTAACTTTTTTCAATCATCATAATAACATTTGCAAATCGGTTACATTTTTTTTTGCGATTTTATGACTTAAATTGGTGTTTAAAGAAACCTCTATACATTATGATACGAAATAATATTAATCACGAATACTAATCAGCGCCGAAATCTAGAGGAACGAAATAGAGGAACGAAATACTCCCATAATACAGGGAGGTGATTATAGTAATAATACTAATAATAATGATTATATATACATTGATAATAACAATGATGATAATAATGATATTGACAATAATGATAAAATATAAAAAATATGATACTATTACTAACAACGATGTAATATTTACAACAGTGATGATTATATAAACGATGGTAATGGTAATGATAATGATAACAATTACAAATGATAGTAATGGTAATGATAATTATACTAATGATAGTATGGTAATAATAGTAATGATAATAATACTAATAATAATGATAATGACAATAATAAGAATAATAAAAACAATTGTCATTGTTACCATAATTACATATAATAATAATAATAATAATAATGATAATGATAATGATAATGATAATAATAATGATAAAATTATAATTACTAATTTCTTTTGTGATATTACTAGAACTTTATGTGACCATTACGAAACGAACATTATTGCAATTAGGTTCGCCCTATATTAAAACACACAAAAAAATAAATACGAAGATATAGAGAATTAGTCCATTAAAGAAATAAAAAGGAATGATAATAAAGATATACGTAACGACTGTCCTATCAAAAATAAGATAACATTTCTCTTTCTCTCGTCTACAAGATCCATTAAGAAGGGTAAGTGTATCCTTTATGTTACTTATTGAGGCAGGGATGTTAGGGAATGGGTGTAGATAGGGAAGGGTAAGGAAGGAAAGGGAGTGGGAGGAGTAGGAGAAAGGAGAGGGAAAGAGGAAAAGGAAAGGGGGAAAGGAAGGGGGTTGGAAAGAGATGGAAGGAGGAGAGGGGAAAGAGGGTGTATGGAAAAAAAAGGGAAGGAGTAGGAGATAGATAATACAAGATAAAGGGGTAAAGATAATAATAATAAAAAAAAAAAAAAAAATGTACAGAAAGGAGGAAAATAAGATAGAATAGTTTACCGTTAAAAAAAGAGAGAACGGGAAAAAACTCAAAAGAAAACGGCAAAGAAAACGAAGCACGCAAAAGAAAACGAGATTAATCACGGGGAGAGAGAGTGTGTATAATCGCATCGATGGAACTGACGATAATAATAATAGCAACAGTGATATCAAACGCACAGGCAATTATCCCTGTCAAGGTTTTAGGTGTATAATTTGGCTGAACAAATGATGCTTCCCTTTTCAGAGACAAAATCGTATTAGTTTATTAGCCGTGAGGGGATTATTGTGAATTCCAAAACTAATGAGGGCTTAATTTTCTCCTGAGATTTACCATACGTCTAATCTCGTTAGTGGTGATGCTAGTATCGGGGAAAATATTGCTATTACTGTTATCATATTATCTTTATTATTATTACTATTATTATTATTATTATTATTATTATTATTATCATTATTATCATTATTATTATTATTACTATTATTACTATTATTATTATTATTATTATAATTCTTCATCATCTTCTTCTTATTATTATTATTATCATTATTATTATTATTATTATTATTATTATTATTATTATTATTGTTTTTATTATTACTATTATCATCATTATTATCTTTATCATCATTATTGTTATTGTTATTACCATGTTAACGATAAATAATAAAAATTGTGATATTAATAATGATAATAATAATCATTATCTTTATTATGATTATGATCATCATTGACATTATGTTATTATGAAAACTTTTATCAATATTGTTATTGTTGTCATGATCACTATCATTACCATCATTGTTCTGCGTGTCATTATTATCATCATTATCATTCATTTCATTAAATTGAACATTATCATCAATTTATCGTTATTCTCTCGTAATATTAATGTCATTTTAATTATCGCATGTCCATGATCACCTTTACTTCATTAGCATCACTAATTACATAACTTCAATTAGCATCACTAATCACATAATTACATAAGATCATTATCACCGTCATCGTCAACTTGAAATTCTTTCTAAGTAATCGATCTAAGTAATTCTAAGTAAATATTAGTCGTCCTACGCTGATAGAATATTTCCAAGTAAGATATAAAAGAGAGAAAACTCTTGGCATAAAACGTCGATTTTACGTTAAAAAAATGATGAAAATGATTAATGATTGGATCGGACGAGGGTGTGGGAGGAAGATAAAAGGAAATTACGGAAGGGAGAGGGAAATAAAGAGGGGAGAGAAGAGGAGGAGGATAAAAAAAAAAAAAAAAAAAAAAAAAAAAAAAAAAAAAAAAAAAAAAAAAAAAAAAAAAAAAAAAAAAAAAAAAAAAAAAAAAAAAAAAAAAAAAAAAAAAAAAAAAAAAAAAAAAAAAAAAAAAAAAAAAAAAAAAAAAAAAAAAAAAAAAAAAAAAAAAAAAAAAAAAAAAAAAAAAAAAAAAAAAAAAAAAAAAAAAAAAAAAAAAAAAAAAAAAAAAAAAAAAAAAAAAAAAAAAAAAAAAAAAAAAAAAAAAAAAAAAAAAAAAAAAAAAAAAAAAAAAAAAAAAAAAAAAAAAAAAAAAAAAAAAAAAAAAAAAAAAAAAAAAAAAAAAAAAAAAAAAAAAAAAAAAAAAAAAAAAAAAAAAAAAAAAAAAAAAAAAAAAAAAAAAAAAAAAAAAAAAAAAAAAAAAAAAAAAAAAAAAAAAAAAAAAAAAAAAAAAAAAAAAAAAAAAAAAAAAAAAAAAAAAAAAAAAAAAAAAAAAAAAAAAAAAAAAAAAAAAAAAAAAAAAAAAAAAAAAAAAAAAAAAAAAAAAAAAAAAAAAAAAAAAAAAAAAAAAAAACAAAAAAACACGTAGAAGAGAAAGAAAGAAAACCAACGAAAGTGAGGAGAAGGAAAACGACTTGCCTCATAACCCACTTAAAACAGACAAGATATACACTTCGGTGTTGCTAACTGATCTTCCCTTATTTTCCCACGGGTTCGTTGAAGGGCGGAGAAATTGATAAAGCTGGGGAAGAGAAATTAGATAAATAGGAGGAAGAGGATGGATAAGGATGATGATATGCGAAAGATAAATTAACCGATAATTGGAGAAAGGTAGTCACTTGATAACACGAGAGAGATGGTCAGAAAAAAACTGATAAAAGTTGAGGAAAGCAATAAATGGAGGAGGACAGATAAGCTTGATGATAGGAGAAATATAAATCAACCGATAATAGGAGAAAGATAAACATAATAACGAGAGAAAGATGGATTAAAATGAAAACTTACGAAAGAAAGTATGAGTATATATATGTATTATGTCGACATGGTTTGTGTGTGTATACATTCTGTATGTACACAAAAACATCAGCATTCCTTACGTTGTGCGTGAATGAGTTGTGTGTGTGTCTATTGTTTATTGGTTTGTGTGTGTGTGAATGGTTGTGTGAGTCTATCTGCCCTTGTGAAAAATGCGTGTCTACATCTGTTCATGTAAGGATGCGTGTATACATGGACGTGGATATATTTTAAGAGAAAAAAGATACTTCTAGAAAATACTGTATACTTAGTCGGTCATTCCGTATTCATAGTTTGGGAATTGGTACACTCTCTTCAGTTTTTATTTGTATTAGTTAAGTTATGTTTTATTATTATTTGTGGTCGAAATTATTAATGTTTTCTCTTTTTTTTCTCTTGCATATAAAGACATTCTCTTCCTCCCTATCTCCTTCCCCTGCTCCCTTTCCCTCTCCCTCTCTTACCCATCTCTTTTCTCTTGATTCATTCATTTTTCTTGACTCATTTTTCTTCACTCTCTCTCCCTCTTCTTTTCCTTCTTCCTCTCTCTTTCGTAGCTCTTCTCTCTTTTATCCATCTCCCCCTCTCTCTTCCCTTTTCCCCTCTCTCTCCCTCTCCTTCTCATTATTCCTCTCTCTCTCTCTCTCTCTCTCCATCTCCCTCACCTACACCCCTCTCTCCTTTCTCTCATTCCCCTTCCCCTTCTTCCTCCCTCCCCCCCTT